AGTTTCAATTATAGTGAAAAAAAGTTATTGAAACTTCTTTGAGTAGTTTAAGTGCAATACGTAATTGGCTGTAGTTAAGAAATTTCTGTCTATGAATTTTTTCAAATATCAATTATTTAAACAAAAACTAAGCAATTTCAAAGAAATTTATCTTTTAATCTAAAGTAATGGAAGTTTTATGCACGAGATATTCGATAGTTTTTTTTGCCTTCAAATATTCTAACTAATACTTCATTATATTTTATGTATTTTCTTTTGACTAAGAATCGCCATGTTTTTTTTATGTACAATATTTGTTTTTTGATTTTGAACAATTAGAATGAACGTTCGATGAACGTTTAGAATTTTTATTAGAAACTAATTGCTTTGTAAAGTATATTTTAAAGTACATTCTGATTTCTTATATTATTTGACTACACGCAGGGGTAGAGCAAAATTTAAGTACAGAAGACTCGCGATTTAGTTTACAGTGTGACTTGAGTTATAGTCATTTGTTTGTAAAACAAGTAGAAAAGCTTTTGGTTGGGAGAGTGAAAATTTGCTAGAAATTGGAGATGCAAAGTTTGAAAAGCCGGAATGTTCCAGATTTTCTCCTATACGATATACTCCTCGTGCAAATTCTTCCTAAAGCTGGGTCAACATTTGAGTGCATGAACTGAGAGCTATAATTTTGAAAATAAAACCGCCTTACCTCACCATATTGATCGTAAAGCAGAATCTTCTTATCGTAAGTCATTTTGAGATTTGGTACAACTTTTGATGCGTAACCAAAACACGATATTATATGTCGTGTAAATTTAGTTTCTCCGATAGCTACTTATAGCTGGAAATTCGTTGTCTCAAGAGCTACTGGGAGTTGGAAATTTGTTTGCCCGAGAAATACTATTCTTTTCTGTCCACACTGCATTATAGGGGCTTCTTTGGACAGAGAACTAATGTACTCTATTAGAAGAAGACATTATTTCGCTGTGCTATCTTCGAGGTTCTTCCTCTTCTTTCTTGCATTTCTATATTTTTCAGTGATAGCATGCTAGATAGGATGATTCTCCTTTCAATGGTTATGGTAAATTTGTAGCAGATACAATGTTCCATGGATACATTTTATACTGTGCTTACAAAAGAGATAAAAAGACAAAATGCTATCAATGAGCTATAGAATAGCCACAGATTCCCACATGCACACATCAATCAGGCAGGTAAGGGTTCAAAGCGATCCAATAGAGCACCCCGTTGCTAGCCTACCAGTTTCTGATGTTAGTCTGAGAGAAATGTCTGACCTCTTTGGAACTGTTCGTCACTCACTCCATTGCCGCTACGAAGCATATATTACAGTTGGTGGTTTAAGTTTTGAGCATTCATTGTAAATATTGTATCAAAGAATGACGTTGTAAATAAACAATGTTTTACTTTTCACGTCTCATTTTATTCGTTCAAGTTTCAGATCATTTTCTTTTCCTGCCACAACGCGCCACTTCGACCTTACATACCTATACAAAAAATATATATGCTTCAATAAGCGTCTACATGAACTTCTCGAACCCCTATATATATATATGCTAATTTCAATGATCCAATGAGGGGATATTCGCATGTAGTACGCATACAGATAGTACAACTAGTTTCATATCGTTCATGGATATTACATTCAACTGATAGAAATGTATAAAAGTAAATATTACCATTTGAAATTTTGTATACAAAAATATATAGGTTTCAATAAGTGTATGTAAGTCTCCCTCAAAGTGTGTCCCATGACAGTAGAATTACCCTGTGTGTGTGTGCTAGGATGCAATGATCCAGTGTGGGGGATTTTCATACTACAGGTAGTATGTATACAAGTAGTTTCATACAACTCGTGCACTGATATGGTTCATAATTTGTCATTGCATTCAAGAGTTATAAATGCCCAATTGTGAATATTACCATCAAAAATTGTAAATACAAAAAATATGCATGTTTCATTATGTAGGTGTGAGTATGTATCCCACAAAATTTATCCCATGATCGTTGAATCACCCTGTAATATATATATATATATATATATGTTATTACAATGATTCAATTGATCCAATGGATATGCTACTTGCAATAATCTATCCAATTTTCATATTGCACATAGTTCGTATACAGGTAGTGCTGGTAATTTTGCACTACTCCTACTAATGGTTTGTCATTGTATTAAATAGTTAGAAATGCATAAAAGTGTATACTATTGTTTAAAATTTTGTTATCTCGACTGTAATTGCTAGAATCACGTTTTTTTTTTTTTTTTCAGAAGCGCATAGTCAGAAAAACATATTTTTAACGAAGTCTATTTCAAATTTCATTCTGTGATCTTGGCAACTGATTAAAGACAAAGTTATTTTAAATTCTCAGTATATATTTTTAAATAACTGAAAAAAAAAAATCCGTTTATGTTTATTGTTGACTGTGGCAGTGGGACAGCAGTACCATGATAAAAATCTCCCAAATTAGATGAGTAAAAAAAAAACCGAAAATTGTATAAAATAACGTGACATTCATGACCCACCCTAACAATAAAGGTCGTCACAATGTTAGATGATTAAAAATGTCGAGAATTGTATAAAATGACAAAACGTTCACGATCATAACAGTAAATGTCGAGACGATATAAGATTTTAAGAATAACTTTTGCTTCAATCAATTTTGAAATAACATTTTTCCTGTGTTATGGAAGAAACATCATCATTCCGTATAATGATAAGAGATGAAATTTCTCGATGCATAAAGTAACATCTCACATTTTTCGAAAAATAATTTTCAACAACTTAAAATAACTTAAAATTGATGACACTCTCGCCTAGCAACTCAAACATCTTCTATGGCAGTGGTCTCGAATTATCTTTAAAGATTGAAATAGGAGTAAGTGAACTTATTCCAATTAGTAGCAGACGTAAGATTCCCGGCAACGGATGCAATAATTATTATTCGTAATAGAAGGCTTGAAACTATTTTCAAAAGCACACGGCGAACACAATTAAAAGGAAAAGACTTTTCTGCAAAATTTTCCGTGTTATCATAGGGAAAGAAAAGTTTTGAAAATTTGGGAGTTTAAATTTAAGAGAAATGTGTCGCCAATTTATCTGAATTCTGTCGTGTTTTTCTAAATGTGATTCTTTTTTTTTTTTCCAATTTAATTGAGTTTTCGAAGACACATTTTGTTATTCGTTATGAATATTTTGCTTTAAGAAAACGCATTTTAACGAAGTGTTTTAATTTAAGATAAATTTTAATTAAAATTGAACTGCATTACTTTCAGTTTACTTTATTTATTTAATTCTGTAGTGATGATTATTTTTGACGAGTAATTTAAAATATTTGTTATCATTTAATTTTGATCTCTTACATAAAGTGTTAATAGTAAAATTAATTTTTATCACTAATACTTCATTATATATTATTAATATTTTGTATATTAATATAACATACAAATTATTTAGAAAAATAAATAACTGAGTTTGTTATACTAATTTTTACTTTAGCTAATATAAATCTGAAAAAAAAAATATCTCACAGAAAAATGTAAAATCTATAAAGTTTAGTATCCAGGAAACTGGTTAATTTTAATAGTTAAAATAATTTTTTTCTTAATATAAGTCTCAATTATAGTGAATAAAAGTTTAAATGAAAAAAGTTACTGAAATTTCTTTGAATAGTATGAGTGCAATGCTTAATTGGCTGTAGTTAAGAAATTTCTTTATGCGTATTTTTTTATATGTAAATTATTTAAACAAAAACTAAGCTATTTTGAAGAAATTTATCTTTTAATCTAAAGTAATGGGTGTTTTATGCGCGAGACATTCGACAGTTTGTTTTTGCATTCAAATATTCCAACTAATACTTTATTATTTTTTGTGTATTTTCTCCATGATTTTCTTTTGATTAAGAAACGCTATGCTTCTCTTTTTATGCAGAATATTTGGTTTTTTTATTTCTCTCGATCGTCGTTTGGAATTTTTATTAGAAATTAATTGCTTTGTAAAGTATATTTTAAAGTAAATTCTGATGTTATATATTATTTAATTACAAGATTATTTAGTAACTGTGCAAAGTGAACTTACAAAAGAATTGCGATTTTGATTATAAATTGACCTGAGTTACTGTCATTTGCTCAAGAAAAAAGTAGACAGGGTGTTGGTTGTGAGAACGAATCTTGCATCGAAAAATTAAATTGCATAAATTTTCCGGATTTTCGCCATTACGATATATGAATCTGGATAATCATTCCTAATGTGTTGTCTACATTTAAATGTATGAGCTGCGAGCTACAACTTCAAAAATACCCTCCCCTTATGTCACCATACAAAAGAAAGATAGTGATACTTTTTGGGAGGTCGTACAATTTTTGATGCGTGACCAAAATACGATACTACAGAGGAAGTATTTTTCCTCGATTGCTAATTGGAGTAGGAAATTCGTTTCCCGAGAACTACTCGGAGCTGGAAATTGTGTGTCCCTGAGAGCTACTTGTAGCTGGAAATCCCCAATAGGTACTTTGAGCTGGAAATATTGTTTTCCCGAGATATGCTTGTAGATGGAAATTTTGTTTCCTCGATATCTATTTGAAGTTGGAAACTTTTTTTTTTGCCAGAGATGTACTTGGAGTTGGAAATTTTGCTTCCACGAGTGTGACGTAAAACTGGAAATTTTATTTTCCCGAAAATATTTGGAGCTGGAAATTTGTTTGCCCGAGACTTACTTGGAGTCCGAAAATTTGTGTACCTGACAGCTAATTGGAACTGGACATTTTATTTCCTCAATATCTACTTTGAGCTAAGTCACTTTATAAGTCTTTACTAAGTCAGATATACTTGAAGATTAAAATTTGTTTCCCATATATCTACTTGAAGTTGGAAATTTTGTTTGTACTTGGAACTGGGAATTTTTCTTCCACGCGTGCCAGTAGTGTCGTACTACTCATACTATTATGATTCATGGTTTGTCATTGCATTCAACAGTTCGAAATGCATAAAAGAACTGCCATGCCATGCTGAATATACCATTTCTCGTTAGATCATCGTAGTCAAGCATCATTGGGCGCGGTCAGTACTTGGGTGGGTGACCACCTGGGAACACCGCGTGCCGTTGGCTTTGGGACCTGAATGGCCGAGTGTCTAGCGCTCACAGGTTTCGGGTTCGAATCCCGGCGGTGCCATGGATGTTTGTAGTGGTTCGGAATCCACTTTAAGCCGTAGGTCCCGGTCTCCTATGACTGTAAGAGCGTCACGGAGCAAAAGTCAGGCTTTTACCCTACGGGTGCTCCATCACAACAGAAGCTGCTTCCTTCCCCTTCAATCATTAGTACGTATGGGCTCGTGGGCTTGGCCAGCCAAGTGGGATAAGAAACAACAACAACAACATATATATTGATCCAATGGGGTGATTTTCGTACTATAGGTAGAACAGGTAGCTTTGTACTACTCATACATTATTCATGGATTATTATCGCTTTCATCAGTTAGAAAAGCATGAAAGTAAATATTACCTTTTGAAATTTTTCAATGTTTCATGTTTTTTGTTTAAAAGCGTGTACTCAAAAGTGCATACTTTGAACTACTTATATTTCGAATTTCATTCTGTGATCTTGGCATCCGATTATCGACAAAGGTATTTTAAAGTGCCCTGAATATATTTTTAATTAACTGCAAAAAAATTATTTTTCCACTTATGTATAACGTTGGATGTGCTGGTACAATAGTAGGTCCATAATAAAATTTTTCGAAATTAGACGATTAAAAATTGTCCAGAAATATATAAAATGACGAGACATTCACGATCATAACAATAAGGTACGAGGTAATATAAGATTTTACGAAACACTTCTTCTTTCACTTCAATCAATTTTAAAATAACATTTTTCCTGTCTTAAAGAAGAAGAATCATCATTCCATGTAATTATGCAGATGAAATTTCTCGACATATAAAGTAACATCTTCAATTTTTCGAAAATAATTTTCTACAACTTAAAAGAACTTAAAGACTGATGACACTCTCGCCTAGCAACTCAAACATCTTCTTCGGCAGCGGTCTCGAATTATCTTTACAGATTGAAATAGGAGTAAGTGAACTTATTCCAATTAGTAGCAGACGTAAGATTCCTGGCAACGGGTGCAATAATTATTATTCGTTCTAGAAGACTTGTAACTATTTTCAAAAGCACACGGCGAACATAATTAAAATGTAAAAGACTTTTCTGCAGAATTTTCCGCGTTATCATAGGGACAGAAAAGTTTTGGAAAATTTTGAGTTTAAATTAAAGAGAAATGTTTCACCAATTGATCTGAATTCTGTCGATTTTTTTACTGTGGTACTTTTTTTGCAATAATTGAATTTTCGAAAACATGTTTTGTTATTCGTTAAGAATATTTTGCTTGTATAACTATTTTAAGGAAGGGGTTTTAATTTAAGGTAAGATTTAATTAAAATTGAACTGTATTGTCTTCCGTTTACTTTATTTATGCAATTCAGTAGAGATGATAGTTTTTGCATAGTAATTTAAAATATCTGTTGTCATTTAATTTAGATCTTTAACATAAAGCACTAATCGTACAATTAAATTTTATCTCTATGTTATTTTATTTTGTATAATAATAATATAACATACAAATTGTTTTAGATACATAAATATGTGAGTTTGTTAAACAAATTATGAATTTTTGTTAATTTTAATTTCTTTATTATAATTTTTTTCCATGAATAAATATTTTACAATTTTATAGAATCAACGAGGTATTAAAAATGTTATAATTTTTTTTTAACATTTTCACTTTAATTAAAATTGACACAAAAAAGTATAATTAATATACAATTTTAAGCAGAATTTAATTTGTATTAAATTATTATTCAATAAATCTTACAGCATACAGATTTAAATTTTACTAAAACACGATGCCGAATATATGGAGGAATTTTATGATAAGCGTAAAATATTGATGTATTACCTTTGATTAATTGAATAAAATATCATATTTAATGCATAAAAAATACTTCTACAAAATTCCTATGATTTCTGCTGATTCAAAGCCCATATCAAATGAAATTTCCTATAAACTGAAATATATATCATTGTGTAACCGTGCTTTCTTCTACATACTGTCAAAAACGCCCCCTGTGATGTTCAAAAGAATTGATCAATCGGTCTTGAGACGTCAAAAGAGAGGACGTACAGAGCAACTTGCCCTCCCGCTGAGAAACGTTTATTTTATAGTTCTCTCATCCCAAGAAAAACCTGCATTTCGTACCTTCCCTAAGATGTAGTAGAATTTTGGGTTTTCAACTTAGAAGTGGAGTTTTCCTACCAATCTATAATTAACTGTCTTTAAATGTGTAAAATATTGTATGCCTCTGATGGTATATGTGGAGTGTTTGTGCGAGTGTATATCAAGCTGTGAGTTCTCCAACCTATGCTGTAACTATCTCAACCCAACGACAGCCAGTTACATTGTGGTTGCCCAATCTATCTGCACACTACAATTGATAATTTTCTGAAATGTTAGATAAAATATAAGTTTGGTAAAACCACGTCTATCTGAAACTGCAAAACTGCTTTAACTAATTAAAACTATTTTTTATTTCTTCTTCAATAAGCATAAAAATAATATTTCTTTTCTTAAAGCAAACACAATATTATTGCCTGCAAGAAGAAAACGTAATGTCTCTCGTATACATGTCTCATAGACTTGTATGCATGTTATGCTCATTTCAAAAATAATTTTCTGTTTTCAAAGAAATTAAAGAAACTAATTAACACCTCAAAACTCTTCCACGGTACTGCTATTGAATTATTTGGGAAAGTTAAAAGAAGAACTGAAGAATTTATTCCAATTAGTAAGACACAAGACCTGTCAGCATGCAGTGTAATAACTAGTATTCATAATAAAAGTGTTATAATAAGTTTCAAAAGTACAGGAAAAACATAGTAATAATTTATAAAAATACAAAATAACTATCATAACAACATTCAAAAGTACATAAATAAAATGGATGATGTTTTTGTAGAAGTATAGATACGATCAATGAAAGAAAATAGTTGCTAGTTGCTAGTTGATTTAAATTCCATTATTTTTTCGCCGTTGTTTTTATTTCAATATAATCTTATTTTTACAGACTCAAACATTTTGTTGACGAATCTTCTACATTATTTTAACTAACACCTTCAAAAAAAATTAATTTAGTACCAAGTTAAGCGAAAGGAACATATTATTGCTCACAAATTAATCTATAATTATATAGACCATATGAAGTTAAGAACGTTTTTTGTTTTGTAGTGCAAATTTTAAACATTTGCTACTTTTAAATTTAAAATATGTTACATGGACTCAAATAATCTGGGAAATTTATAATAAGTTGGACAGATAATTTATTCCAATTAGCAACAAACATAAAATTTTCTAGCAATCGTGGAACAATTATTATTCGTAATAAAAGAATTTTAACAATTTTTGAAAACCTAAAATAAATATAATAACAATTTTTTGCAAACCCAAAATAATAATAATAATAATCATAAAATATAAAAACAATTTAAAAAGTCCAAAATAAATATAATAACAATTTCCGAAAATACAAATTAAATATAACTGTATTCAAAAGAACATACACTCAAGAGCCAAAACATTATGACCACCTCTACATTTTGCAATGAACTCTCCTGGATGACGTGGAAGGCACGTGATCAGGTGGAAGTGGTATTTAACTGCTGCTGGAGAGTCTGAAGAATCATTCTTTCACTTACTTCTATGTGTGATGGGAACACACACAGAAGTAAGTGAAAGGTTACAGATGGTCATAATATTTTGACTCTTGAGTGTACCATTATGAAGAAGCTTTGGTATGATCTAGGGGAAAAAGATTGAAATTCGGAACTTAAAGACAAATGATTTACTACTTGACTTAAACTCTATTATTTTTACTCCATCGCTTTTATAAACATAAATAAAATAGATGAGCGTTCTGTTGAAGGATCGGTAGTATGATCAATGAAATAAAAGTTTGAAAATTTGAATTTAAAGAGAAATATTTCGCTAGTTGATTTAAATTCCATCATTTATTCGCCATCGTTTTTATTTCAATTTAATCGTATTTTCACGAATTTACTGCATTATTTTAGGTAATATATTCTTTTTTTTTTTGAAATTTTAATTTTAGTACCAAATTAAGTAAAATTTATTTTAACCAAATTTTTATAGTCTCAAGTATTTCGTTTATATTATTTCAAGTACAATTTTTGTGAAGATGTTTTAATTTTAGCGTCAAATTAATTAAAATAAATGCATTATTTTTTCTGTATAATGTGTTTTTGTGGTCTGTATTGGGTTTAGAATAACATTATTTCTTGTAATATAATTTGATGTATGTTTTCTTTCAATTTAAATATGTTATATGTACCCAAACGTTGTCTTCAAATAATCCAGGATGGTTAAAATAAGATATAGAAAGAAATTTTCAATCATTAATAATCGTAAGATACCTTTCAGGAACCTTGCAAAAATAAAAGACTAATAACAATTTTAAAAAGTACACGGTGAATTAATATGGCAGACTTTGTTGTAAATTTCTTAGAAATTATCAAAGAAACAAAAGTTTTGAATTTGGAATTTAAAGAGAAATATTTTGCCAATGGATTTGAAAGTTATTTTTTGTGGACCTTTCCAATTTCATATAGTTTGCACTTTAACAAACTCACACATTTAGATTATGGATATTAAACGTCGTTTCAAGTAAAACTGTCATACGTTGGCACTTTAATGTAATGCCAAATTAAAATTAAATATGTTATTTTCCATCAACTCTATTTAAGCAGTCCATATTGTAATTAGAAATCATTATTTTTGTAATGTGTTTTAAATGCCTACTTGCTTTGAAATTTGATGTGATAATGAAGTGTTAAACAATGGATTTAATTTTTATTATTCATTCATAGAATAAAAATGTAATATTAAAAATCTTTTAATTTGGAAATGTTAATAAAGCACCACAAGTGTTTTATTGTACAACCTCAAGTTTCCATAATTTTACATGCATTTAATTAGCTATTTCATAAAAAATGCCACTTAAGGATGTGGATAGGTCCTAATATAATACTAGT